TGTTTTGTTTTTTGTTTTTTTGAATGTCCAGAGGACCAGATTGAACTCTTTTGGACTTTGAATAAAGTAATTTCACACTGAAAAATTAACATATAAGGAAGAGTTAAGAAAACCTGACAATTTCAATCAAATGTTTTAATATTGCAACAAATTATACTTAAAAATACAATAATGGTAACTATAAAGCCATAAAAAGTCTACATTTCCTTTTTCTGCAGGAAATAATGTAAACTTACTCCAAACATTAAAATATTTTAGCCCTGCGATGGACTTGCGACCTGTCCAGGGTCTACCCCACCTGCCACATAATGACCCTGGGCACCATCTCCCCCGCAACCTGGCACGGATAAAGCAGGTACAAATAAAAGGATAAATAGGTAATAATTTAACCATGAGGTCAGTAAGCTTAAATCTGAGTTTCTCTGAATGAGATCACAAAGTTGACTGAACTCTTCATGCTGTGAGTCTCACAATAAAAACAACAAATCACACTCACACAAAGGATTTATGACAGTACAAAAGACTGCTCATATAATACTGCTACATGGCTTAAGAGAAGCAGAGCAGGGGTTGCCTCTGTTAGGACCTGAGCAGAGGGATTCGATCTCCTGCAGGACGTTCCTCACCACTTGTCCAGCTGGACAGTCCATACCTGGGAAACAATCAACTTTCACAGAAAGTGCAACGTAAACACACCAACACTGGATGAGCAGCTCTGCTGTGACATAATCCTGAGTTTTCGTTCTCCTTTCATTCAGTCACTTTGTTTTCTCCTCTGCTGGCCAGATTATGAAGCTCATTCCAGTGGCTGTGAAAAGTCTCTGGGTGATGAGACCATCTGTGTAGACTCTGTCACAGTTTGATGTCTTGGGTCTCTAACATCTTTGCCAGAGTCTTCTTCACCCGCAGGGCTGTGAGGCGGCAGGCCGGGTTGTGAGCCCAACACTCCGACATCAGCTTTCCCATCTGTCGTAGACACTAAAACACACACATGGTCATACAGTAAAATCAACTGAAATTTAAAATGTGGCACAGAAATGTATTGAAAGTCTTTAGCGTAGAGTTAATGGCTTCATGTTTGAAAATCCTAATTCATGTCTTAATTGCTGTCTTTAAGACAAACTTCAAGGATATTAGCTGGGTGACAAATTCTAGGAAAATCCTTTATCCTTTTCAGAGAGCAAAGTGTAGCAGACATAAGATCTACATGTCCCCTTAGAAGTTAAGTCATGGCAAATTAGTTCTAAGTAGTTAAGAGTAAAATAATAATGTGTTGAGAGGATTGATGGTCAGTGCATCCATTCATTGGCCACAAAGTGACTGAATGGTTTCATGAGCATCAAAACAATGTGAGGCATATGCCATAATCTTTCTATAGGCTCATCAGACTCATTAATTTTCAATATAACCATATCGTCAAAGGAATACGTTAAACTGAAGCAGTTTTGATTATGAGTGATGACTTCAAGCTCCTTTTACTAAATGTGTCAATTGTTTTAACAAATATTGTAGTTTTATTTGTATACATCCATTGTAAGGATAAGTTTTGATCATAAAAATTAGCAATATACCACCTCAGAGTCATTTTTCAATGGCTCTCCATTCTTTGTAGTCAGCATCTTGAAACCACAGCATCAGATTATCTGCTTGTAATCTCACAATTTTCTGACACTTTATAATGAGAATGTCAGGAAAAAGAAAATGCTTGTTGCAGAGGGGAGAAGAGGGCATTCAAAGATTGTTTTTTAAAGCCAAAACTAAGTAAGCGTTTGAAGAAAGTTGAAGGTTTAGTGTAGTACCGTATTTTTCGGACTATAAGGTGCACTTAAAATCCTTTAATTTTCTCAAAAATCGACAGTGAGTCTTATAATCTGGTGTGCCTTATGTATTAATTCTGGTTGTGCTCACTGACCACAAACCGATTTTATGTGGTACACAGCGCTCAAAAATCTGTTAAAATGAACTTGTTTCGCTTAATGGGCCTTATAATCCGGTGCGCCTTATGTATAAAAACAGACCTGTTCATTGATATTGCACCTTATAATGTTGTGTGTCATATAGTCTGAAAAATACGGTACTTCCCCACTACAGTATGTTTCCCATCATCAAAATCCAGTTCAGAAATGCCCTCACCCAGCAGGATCCATATCAACATTATCGCTCCTTGTGATTCTCATGGGTGAGATGGGTCCATTTGAGTATGAGGCAAGATTGTGACTGAGAATGTATTTTAAAGCAGATGAAACAAATCAAAGACAAAAATATATATATACCTCATCACTGCTCCAGTGATTAGCGATCGGAGGCCTTAGTTTTTTAATGCAGACAACCTCTCTCATGTCCTCATAAGAAGGGTCAGTGAGCACCAGGTCATAATAAGGCAGCTGGTACTCATCTACAATGCCTGCAGGACACACAGACAAAGCAGAGGCTTCAGTACCTACTAATAAATTATCCAAACATACTCAGATTTATAGCAGTGCTATTCTTCTGACCTCCAGAGATACACCGCTGGGTCATTTCCCAAAGAATTAGACCAAAACTATACATGTCAGCCATGATAAAGGACTGGAAGGTGCTCCTGTTCAGAGTCTCATCCAACACTTCAGGTGGCATATAGCGCTTTGTTCCAACTCGTAGATTTGAAGGAATGTCCACTTCGTTGGTGTCACTGAAACAGCAAACAAAAAATATCCTAAACCTTCATGTTTCAGCTGATGCCAATGATTCTCTTCGACTGTGTTGAAAGAACTGGGTTTTACCTGTTAAACTTGACCGCGAGCCCCAGATCTGCTATACAGCAGAAGCCGTTCTTTTTAACCAAGACGTTTTTGCTCTTCAGATCTCGGTGTGCGATGGCGGGTTTGCCCTGCGTGCCGTAGATCTCGGTGTGCAGGTGGCAGAGGCCTGAAATGGACGAGTATGCCAGCTTCAGCAGGGCCTTGACGTCCAAGGTGTTGGACTTGAGGTAGTCGTACAGGGACCCATTCTCATGGTAGTCTGTGATTAGGTAGAGCTGAGTCCAGGAGCCAGTTCCTTTGATGTCAGCTGCTATGAATCCTGGGGAGGAGAGAATGAAGAAACACAAGTGCAACTTAAATTCAAGGTCAAGCACTCATCAAAGGAACCACCCGCTGCCTTTCATGCCAGAGTTTTAAACTAGGATCATTTTACGCTGAACGGGGACTGGCCTTACCCAGTATATTGTCGTGCCTCATCAAAAAGGTCTGGTATATTTCTGTCTCTCTGAACCAGCTCTCTTCCTCGGTGGTGAAGAAAACTTTGACAGCCACTCTCTCCCCTCTCCATTTGCCCATCCAGACTTCTCCGTATCTCCCTTTGCCGATCTGCTTGACCATCTGAATCTGCTTGGCAATGGTGCGCTGAACCTGGTGATGAATTATCATAATAAACATGACATTTCTTCCCTTTTCCTATTAAATAATTGCATTTCTGTTTTTGTCAACACTTTTTAGCTGCCTATTGTAATTGTAGTGTACTGTTGTACCAGCAGAGGGAGGCCTGATCCAGACCCAGACCCGATGCTGCGGGAATGCTCAATCAGATCCTTCAGAGACTCCCCAGGAGGAATGTAGGTGTCATCCTGCTCCAGATCAATACTATAGGGTGGCTGTGATGTCTGACGCTTATATCTGACAGGAAAATATTGGCTTAGTGAGCAGAAAGAAGTGTGCATTTGTTATTTGCACGAGTGAAGTTTCTTACCTGAAGTAGCAGAAGACAAGAATGACACCAAAGATGCTGCAAACTGTGATGGAAATGAAGAGCGCTATGTACTGGATGCTGCTGTCCACATATTCTGAAATAATGTTGACATACATGCATTTAAATCACAGATTATCTGCACATAATTATTAAAAAACCATCTCTAAGCACAGAGGAGCATCTGTTAAAACTGAAACTAATGAATAGTTAATATGCTGCAGCATCTTTCTAATTGTTATCAGAAGGAATAAGCCCCTCCCCTTTGATTTGCCTCGTTCTGGCCTGTAGTCCCCGCTCGCACAGCACGCTATTGATCACATCCCGTTCCTGAATCCCACAGATCGGATGTCACAGTGACATCGCTACAGAAGCCCCAGGGGCCTGAAGCAGCTCTGGCACTCTAGTCTTTCTGCCTCACTTCTGTCAACCAGAGACACACACACTCTTACCGGAGATGCCTGAGATGAGTGAACACACACACAGCAGGACATAAAGTACAAATTTAACTGCAAACTTTAAGACAATTTGTTTTCAGCTTTTTCAGGAGTGTCAATCTCATTTACAAAAGGGGGACAAAATGAAAACTGTTTTCAAAATAAGGGCCAATTTCAGAAACTACATTAACTCAAGTTAGACCCCCGACATCATTTCCTGGTTGCAGGTTCCTCAATAAGATTTTGATTGTTCTCATTGGACGTTCTTTGTTGTGCTTTCAACATTATAACCAAAGATTACTGAAAAAAATTCGAGTGATAAACGTATTATACATTTCACATATCATCTTGGGGGCCAGATAAGATCTCAACGAGGGCCACTTTTGGCCCCCGGGCCTTGATTTTGACATGTGCTCTAAATTATTTTCTCTTTTTTCCCCTGTAGGACTAGATTTCTTGATTGAATGCATAATACCCTCTGCCTTTTTATTCCCGAATGTTAAACTAAGATAGTTTTTGGATGGATAAAAACAAAACGAATTTTAACCATTTCAGTCAATTCTTCAAATGATATGAGCAATTTTCTGCAATATAGTGAGATTTCATGAGATCCGTTAGTGCTAAATGTGTGCTGAAGATGACTTAGCTACAACACAAACATTTAATTAAGAATTAAATTAAATTAAAATGAAGTTTTAGCTCAGTATTTGTAAAATTAACCAGATTATAGCCATTCTTGTGTTTACTGAGGCTGCTTAGCTGTGGCAGCCATCTTGGATTGGCTTGACTCCAGATGTTAATCAGTTGAACATCCAATGTTTATTTTCTTAGTTTCAATGAAATCTTTCCAGGTGGATCATAACATATTTTGCTAACATACCAAACAAACCCACTAGAAAAACATTACCACCGTTTGCCGCTGAAAGTACAGAATGATAAACTACATTTTTTAAGTTTTCCTTTGACAGTAGCATTATGTGGTTGTGTAGTTCTCGTGAGCAAAGATAAGGCTGCTGGTAAACTCTTTAGTCATATTTTGTTGTATCAAATACTTGGATTGTGTCAAAGTATCAAACTGAGCAATTTGGTGAGCATTGCTATTATAACAAAAGTTGGCTTAAAATGTTGAAATGATCAAAGTACAGTTTTCATGTCTGTATAATGGTGTTTGTGAAGAAGATACTGGGCACGCCAGAAAGAATGTGCATGTTGGTTTGCTGTGGAGTGACAGATGGACATATATCTCACATCAATCCTGAGGCAAGAAACTCAAGCAGGCCCTGGGGAGAGGCTGTCCTTTTCATTACAGAGTGAGAAAACAAGCAGAGTCTGCAAGTCTCTCTTTCACCTGCCTCTCCTGAGCAGCATGAGCCTTTTTACTGCAGCACCACTCTGTGGTTTGTTACAGTTTAAAATGTCACCACCATCACAGACCCTGTGTGGCTCGGAAGGACCCGCTTTAAAAGCCACTTGTGCTCTAAAGGCTGGAAGGTTTTCTTGAGTGGGAAGCGGTGTGAAGAAAAGTACCTGAAGTCACCAGCGGAGGAAGTGTAGGATGCAGGTTTCTGTTGCAGTAGTCCTCGTCTGTGCAACACTTCAGAACTCTCCAGGAATGTGCATTCCATGGGTCCTTCCAAACACACACACAAAGAAAACATTTTTAATTTCTAAATGTTTTTCTACTGCATAAGAAGACAATGGCCTGGATTAGTTTGAGCCTAAACTAAACCAGCGGCAGGTCAGAAGGATTAATGCCACCTCAGTAAGGCGGCTGCTTGAGAGGCTGCATGCAGGCTTTCACTAAGGAAAAAATACACACACACTTCTAAAAATGTGACTTACTCTGCACTGAAACTCGGAGCCAGCCAGAGCCAAACAGCCTGCAGAATGCACAGCGTGACCCCCCTCCTCTTTCGTTACCATGGTGAAGCAGAAACCATCGGTCCTACCAAAGCACAAAACATCTCTTAATCAGTATCATCGTCAATGGTTAAAATTTGGGATTCACGATATTATCGGCATGGTATCAGTACCATCCGATATTAGAGTTAAAGTTAAATATTGGACATCTGCTCAGAGACACCACGAGATGTGCAATGACAGGGGATCGAACCCAGGACCTTCGGGTCCCGAGTCGGTTGCACTGCCCGTACTCCATCTCGGCCCCACAAAAATAATTTAAGTGGGCTATGTTCTGATAAAGAAAAGTATATAAAAAAAATCGGTAACAGTTATCGGCCAAATAAGTTTTAGCACATCGGCATATTGGATATCGGCCAAAAATCCAATATCGTGCATCCCTAGTTTAAATGGTGCATTTAAGGCTCAATACTGGGGCAGTAAATCTGATTGCAGTGCCTGCATATGAACACTAAAATAATTTGTATTTTACAACCATGAGTTTAGTTTTAAATGTTTTACCTGAAATTAGAAATTAACACTAACGTAGATATCCTATTTATTACAATTTTAGTAATTAAACTCTATCTAAAACAAATAGCTATTAGTGAATAAAGTGTAAACAAGTAACGGTAGCGCTGTTAGGGCTGCAGTGAGCTATCAGAATTGTTCAAAATAGTTTGTAAGATTAGGTTCAATGACTACTCATTATTGTCAATGTTTTCACCTGTTTTGCTGAATTAAAAACGATTTAAAAATACTTTGGACTCAAGATTCATTAAAGTCATAATCATTAATAAATAAATCAAATTATAATGAGAATTATATTTTTTTCTGATGTAAAAAGAAGAACAAAGGCTTTAAAGTACATGTGCCATTTTATTTAAATAAATATATCAACACATTTACTTTACCTTCATCTGTGCCAGATAAACGTGCACTTTTTGTTTTAATCTTCCAAACAAATTTGGACTGGCTAATGGAGGTGGTAATGAGCTTTGCCTCCAGTGGTTTGAGGAACTCCATTAATGCAGCTAAAGCAAACATTTGTGTACGGATCAACTAATTAAATGTGTATTTTGCTAATAACTTTGAGTAAGTCTTTCAGCAGGCTTAGGGCCGTGTTATTTTATAATGTGTGTGTGTGAGCAGGAAGGTGTGTGTACTTCATCGTACACGCATGTGTTGTTGACGGAGCCTTCAGGGCACTGGGGGTAGCAGAGGCACTGAAGGTTCTGATCTGAAACTGTGGCGGTGCTGCTGGTTTCCTCCACCCGTCGCTCTGATCCTTCCTTCCAGCCACTCCTTGGTAACATGGTGTCCAACATATTGGCTGGAAAGGGAAAACAGTGAGAAATTTAGTACCAGTTCAGACCAGAAGAGTAGCACTTGAGTACACATAAATACTTTTTTTTAAATTATTATTAGAACTACCTGTGTTCAAGTCTTTGTCGTCTTATTTATTGCAAGATAGTAAGTGTGAATGTGCTGCTTAAAACAATACTGTTATTCAAACGTGTGCTGTGTACACAAAAGACATGACAGACAAAATGTAGTTCCTTTTCAAATGGAATGAGCAGACCTGACAGCTTTATCGTTCTGACAAAGAAGTCTAATTAGTGCTGATATTCTTCTATATGTCATTGAATCCATCTTCAGCACATTAGCATGCCTGCACAGAAAAATCCCACAATAATTATTATGTTTTTTGCATATAATCCCATGTGGAATGTTATGTAACTACGTATCATCAACATTAGTATGATGAAAATGCTCCCAAATCACACAGGAAACAACATTTTGTACATTTTTAAAAGATTCATGTTCAGCTGAAAAAATTGGACGGGTGGCAGCAAAGGAAAAAGCTCTGAAGAAAATGTAGAATGCAAGACTGTAAGGATATATATATATATATATATATATATATATATTAACTTGTCACATCGAGAAATTGTATTAAATGGTAAACATGTCACATGTACACAGGTGAGATGATGTGTTTCAGAAATAGTTTTGCCTTTTTTGAACAAAAGTTGCAAAAACATACAAAAATATAAACCATTTAATAGGGATGCATGATATTATCGGCATGGTATCAGCCAATATTAGCGTTAAAGTTCAATATCGGACATCGGCCATTCCATTAAAATATTTTGCTGATATAAAAGGCACAGTTTTTGCCTGCAGCGGCAGCGCAATGCGATGATGTCACGTGTGTCTACCCAATCTCACGGCGGAGAGGAAAATTCAAAATGTCAGCGTGTGGAAGTTTTATGTTTCGTTGGTGAAGATGTTAAATTCCAAAGATTTTTGGACTATGTTGAGCCTCGCTACATCATCCCCAGTCGGAGATATTTTTCCGACATAATGTTACCCGAGTTACATGCCATCATGTCCGACGTCATTGAGAAGCTAATAGCTGATAGCACTTGGGTGAGTTTTACCACAGACATTTGGACGTTGTGTTAGCCCCATTAGCATGATTAGTCTTACGGTACAATAGATAGACAAAAACTTTGAACTTAAAAAGTCTGTCCTTCATGCACAAGAGTGCAGAGGATCCCACACTGCAGCTACAAACCTGGAACAAGCCTCCACAAGTGAGACAGCATCACAAGGGACTAATGCTAATAAATATTATTTAACACTTTTCATTTAATGTAAGTTAAAGCACTATGCATGACTGTTACTGAATATATGTCACCAGCTCTTACAGCTGTTGCACAATTTTTGGAGCAAATAAGCCTAAATAAGAGGGCTATGTTCTGACAAAGGAACGGATTTAAAATATCGGTATCGGCATCGGTTATAGGCCAAATAAGTTTTAACATATCGGCATATCGGATATCGAACAAAAATCCAATATCGTGCATCCCTACCATTTAAGATGCTAACTATTTATCTCACTAACTATGCTATCAGGTTTTTGGCATCCAATCCAATCCAACTTTATTGATAAAGCCCTTAAAAAAACATACAGGACCAAAGTGCTGTACAGACAAGTTAAAAAGCACAAAAGGAATAAAATACAAGGAAAAAAAAATTAAAAAGACAAACAGTTTTGCAATAAAAATTGAAACAGTAAAATGAGTATCAAATCAATAACAATATTAGAATCAACATGTCACATGTTGTCAAAAGCCTTGGTAAAAAGATAGGTTTTAAGATGGGATTTAAAAACGGGCAGAGAGGCGGCCAGTCTGATGTGGAGAGGCAGACCGTTCCATACTTTAAGAGCTGCTACAGCGAAGGCACGGTCACCTCTAAGCTTGAGCTTTGTTCTGGGTACACTCAGGAGCAGCTGATCAGCTGACCTGAGAGCACGGGGAGCGGGGTATACGGCTCTAGCAGCTCAGAAAGGTAGGGTGGGGCAAGACCATTGAGAGATTTAAAAGTCAATAAAATAATCTTAAAACTGATCCTAAAATGTAACCAGTGACGAGAGGCTAAAATGGGGGAAATGTGCTCGTATTTACATGTGCCAGTTAAAAGATGTGCAGCAGCATTTTGCACCATCTGAAGATGGGCAATGGAGGAGCCACTAACCCCCACATAGAGAGCAGTACAGTAATCTGGCCTAGTTGTCACAAAGGCATGAATTACTGGCATTGAAGAAAAAACACCCATCCATCTTCTTCCACTTTTCCAGAGTTGGGTCGTGGGGATAGCAACCTAAGTAGGGAGGCCCAGACTTCCCTATCCCCAGCCACTTGGGCCAGTTCCTCGGGAGGAATCCCAAGGCGTTCCCAGGCCAACATAGTCCCTCCAGCGTGTCCTGGGTCTTCCTCTGGGTCTCCTCCTGGTGGGATGTGTCGTAACACCTCACCAGGGAGGTGTCCAGGAGAAATGATGCCCAAGCCACCTCAATTGGCTCCTCTCGACATGGAGAAGCAGCGGCTCTACTCTGAGTTTTTCACGGATGACCGAGCTTCGCACCCTAACTCTAAGGGAGAGCTCAGACACCCTGCGGAGAAAACTCATTTTGGCCGCTTGTATCCGTGATCTCGTTCTTTCGGTCACAACCCAAAGCTCATGAGGGTAGGAACGTAGATCGACCGGTAAATTGAGAGCTTCGCCTTTTGACTCAGCTCTCGCTTCACCACGACAGACCGGTACAACGCCCACACCACTGCAGGCGTTGCACCTATCCGCCTATCGATCTCTCGCCCCATTTTACCCTCATTCATGAACAAGACCTCAAAACACTTAAACTCCTCCACTTGAGGCAGGACCTCCTCCCTGACCTGGAGAGGGCACTCTACCCTTTTCTGGGTCAAGACCATGGCCTCGGATTTGGTGGAATTGATCCTCATTCCGGCCGCATCACACTCGGCTGCGAACCGCTCCAGTGAAAGTTGTAGATCATCACCTGATAAAGCCAATAGGACCACATCATCAGCAAAAAAACAGAGACGCGATCCTAAGGCCACCAAAAAAGATCCCCTCAACACCTTGGCTGTGCCTAGAAATTCTGTCCATAAAAGTTATGAACAGAATCAGTGACAAAGGGCCATTAAAAGAAACTTTAGGTTTTAAAGAAAATAAGTGTGTCATCATACAAAAACTGCTGCTTCATGTTAAAGTGTGTATTGCTGCACACTGAATAAATTCAGACTAAAATTATAAACAAAATGTGCTTTAACTCAGTAAATACAGGATGATATATTGAACTAATAAAGAATTACAGTCCATCTCATCCGACACAATTTATGCAAAAATATTTGCACAATATAAGATCCCATAAAAGGTGCATAAACTAATATCAACAAGAATGCACAAAGATGACTAGTAAATCATCAGATTAAAATAACCTTTAGGTGTAAATGTTCCTTTTTCTTGGACTAAAAGTAACTGAAGGCGATTCTTCCCGTGAGTTTAACCAGATCTGACAGCAGCTTATCCCTGAGGAGTTTTGTGGTCAGGAAGCTGAACAGTTTTGTGCTATACTAGATGGATGTCTTCCTCTCACTGTAAGTCTTGGTTTCACTCACTCAGGCACTCTTTTATTCATCCCTTTCCCCCCCATTTGACTTGAAGTCTTACAGAAACGGAAGACCAAAGCATTCAGTTATTTATCTGCATTGTACATCCTGAGTTTAAGGCTGTTGAAAAGACTGCCTTAGGCAAGAAGATCACATTGGAAGTCAGAAACATCAAGGTTGTATAATTGTCCCATGAGTCAATTAGGACCTAGAAAACATTTCCATGTCTGGGTTTAATTGAAAAATGTGTAAATAGAAGCTAAGTAGTCCAACAGCCTGACCAGCCACTGGAAGAGAGACGTGGTTAATCCTCCAGAGGACTACGTGATGAAAAGGCTAAATCAAAGAGCAGTATAAACAGAGCGAACGGTGCTTAAATGGCACTCAGTGTGTCCTTTCATCCTAATCTGTGTTGCTATTTCAGCTGAAGGGGAAGTTTGTGGAGGTGCTGCGATCCTCCTTCACAATGGCCTTGGTTCCTCTACCATATACTGTTCAGCATGTGTAATGAAAAAAAAAATAAAGAACTGTTCTAGGAATTTGTGAAACATGCATTCAAAATCTAATCTGGTTTATTTGAACTTTCATAATAGTGGAAAGTGTTCGAGACAGGCTCCAGCTCCCTGTAAACCTGCACGGGAAAGCAGGTGATAAATGGATGGATGGATATGAGTGGGAAATGATCTGGAAAAATGAAGAGTGGGGATTCCTGTCTATCTAAACTCAGTCTTTTAATCATAATGAAATGTAGGGATGCACGATATTGGATTTTTGGCCGATATCCGATATGCCAATATGTTAAAACTTATTTGGCAGATAACCGATACCAATACCGATATTTTTCCCCTAAACCTACTTACAGAGACTACATAACTTTCTCTGCTGTGGAATTAAAATACTACATTATTCTGCATGGTCTTTTTCATTTTGACCTGCTACCAAATGCAGATGCCAAAAAGGGGGTGAAAATGATGTAACACTTCAACTTGGATTATGTTTAATATCAAATGTATTCATGACATTTACTCTCTCTAACACAATGACAACACTCGGACAGTGCAAATTTGTAAATTTTCACAAATCTAAATTCAATCTGCTCACAAGCGACAAGTGAAAAGCACATAAGTGGTAGTGCATTAAAATATATACTTGACAATTTCTTAAATTAAAAATTAACATAAAAAACAAGCTTTTTATATTGGTGAGGGTTTTTTTTTTTTATGGAATGGCCGATGTCCGATATTTAACTTTATTGCAAATACCGGCCAATACCGATACCATGCCGATAATATTGTGTATCCCTAATGAAATGGCACGGGTTTTTTTTCCAATCACACAGGTCTATAGCAGT